GCTTAAATAAAGTTTTCTGAAAGGAAAGCAGTTGCAGTGAATCTTTATCAGGTGCAAAATGTTGGCTAGAGGTGGCAGCCAGGAGTAAGGGATGACTGGAGGCCATCCCCATCCCAAACCTCAGAAATCAGCTCTGAGATGCCCGAGTGAGGTATCTCCGAATGTTCTGAGCAGCATTTGGGAGAATTCCTGTGGACTTTCGGTCCTTTAAGAGACGAAGTAAGGTTTCTCATGTGCTTTGCTGACTTGGACAGCCAGAGAGCTAAGCCAAGAGCCCAGTGGTGTCTGCTTTTGGAGAACGAGACCAGTGGCTCCTGGGAGAAAAGCCCCCCACAGGAGAAAGGTCACTCAGCATGGACCCTAGCGAATGCCCTTGTGAAAGCAGTGAGGATGATACCATCTTCTGTCTTGCTTTGCTTTCTTTTTCCTCTCCCTCACTTTCCCCTCTGTATAAGAGACAGAGGTTCTAAGCAGAGACACTTTGGGTGTATGGCCCTGTCGGTTAATTAATGCTTTGGTACCTCAGGCTCCCCAACCTGTCACAAGTGGGAGCAGCCACGTTGCTTTGGGAAATGAAGGGTGTAAGTGTGGTTTCCATGGTTTTGGTCATTTAAGGTTCTAGAGATGGTTCTCCCATGTGTGCTTCTGGAGCCCACGCCCCTACATTGCTTTCTGAAGAGAAGGCGTATTTTCCTTGGTTTCTGGAACCTGGGGTTATGATAAATACAAATAGAGAGTTATCCTGAACTTGGTCATCAAGAAACTCCAGGACACTCAAATAACTTCTTACTGCTCCGTTTCTTGTCTCTGCATCTAGCCAGCAAGCACTGCGAGGGCACGACGTGTTTCTGTAGCAAGTCTATAGAAGGTTAGATGTAGCATGGCCCAGGCCCGAACATAGCTAATGGGGCCATAGATGTTTTCTCTCTCTCTCTCTTTTTTTTTTTTTAGGATTTTATCCATTCATTTGAGAGAGAAAGAAAGAAGTGGGTGGAGGGGCAGAGGGAGAGGAAGAAGCAGGCTCCCCGCTGAGCAGGGACCCCCCCCTCCCCCAGGGGCACAGTTGCTGGGCTCGATCCCAGGACCCCGGGCTCATGACCCTAGCCGAAGGCAGACGCTTAACCGACTGAGCCACCCAGGCACCCTGCCATCATAGATGCTTTCTTGTTCAGATCTGGAACTCCAGTTGTGGGGTTTTTCTGGGAGGCATATATAGAGTCCTGAATTTTACAGAAAATTGCAACTGTAACTTTGATTAAGAATTCCAGTGGATCTATTCGAACACTGGAGAAGCACTCACTTTTCCCTAGCACTCACTTTTCTCCGAGAAAGGTTTCTACTCCTTGATTTTTGTCAGTTGATAGGGCAATGGGTGGGACAGATGCAGAAATGCCACCCACTTTGCAAGGGGGAGCCTACCCACATGTCTCCACAGGCTGCTGGGTGAGGATCTTAAGCTCAAGTGCTAACTAACACTGAGCGGATGAAACCAGCCAGGCTCACACGACAGAGTGGCAGGGACTGTGGTGGACCATAGGGGCACGTCCTGTCCAAAGAGGGCAGAGGTTACTCGGTGATGCTGGAAGGGTTGGAGCCCAGGGTGGCCCCATGATCCGGTTTTCAAGAGAAGCCAGGAATCCAGATATTCCGTAAAGTGGCTCAATTTCTAAGCCTTGGCAACTAATTTTTTTTTTTTAAATAAAATTTTGAACACTGGGCCAGGCTAAACCTGTGGGCTGAATTTTATCTGGGCCAGTTGGGAAACGGTGCCCCAAAAGAATCCGGCTCCTCTCACGGTCCCCTGCCTCTGAAAAGGGCACCTCTCCTGTTGAATGTAGGCAGTAGGATCTGCCTACAACAGGGTACACATTTATCTTGGACACCCACCGCTGGCTAACCCTCAACTCTCCTTCATTTAAAGGGGGCAGAGGGGAGGCCAGAAGTTGAAAATCCTACACAGATCATGCTCAAGATTTTAATTTGTCCAGGAAACAGAGTTAATCTTGTGACTCTTGGGGGCTAATCAAAGTTCACAGATGGGGGTTCGGGAGGGAATGTGGAAAGGGGATGAATCCACTTCCTTGACCACCAGCCCCTTCTCTTGCCCATCCCCACCTCTTAACCTCCAACACACGTGCACATCAACATGCCTTTTCAAATGTAGCATTTAAATTCGTTTGGTGGGAGATGCAAAGATAAGGAAACTCCAGAAACACATTTCCCTATCTTGTGTCAGGGTTTTAAGGAAAACACACCAAGCCCCAGACCCTCCATTCAGTGCTCCCATCCCAAACTTAAAAGCCACCTTGCTTTCCCTCCCTCCCTCCTCTCTCTCTCTCTCTCTCTCTCTCTCATTCTCTCCCCTCACCTAAATATTTCTTAATTGAACGGTTTGCTGTGGAGCTTCCTTATAGCAGTTTAATAGATTAACTCATCTGAGCCAGCCTCAAATTTCAGATTAAAATTCCTTCATCCCGAAGGCAGCATTATCAGGTTGTTGGAGGCTGTTTTCAAACCTTGGTTTTGAATAGCAGCGGCTCTGCATTAATTTAACCACTAAGCTAATAAGTAGGTTTCGTTTTGTTATGCTAAGCTTTATTGCTTTTCTTTTGATCAGAATGGTGTTGTTGAGCAAAGCAGCAGACAAGGCATTCTTTGATGAGGGAATTAGCGCTCCATTCTTCCTCTATTATTCATAGCACAGTGGAATATGTAAGTACCTGAGGGTGTCAAAGGAGCGCAGGTTCTATTGCAAAGTGCTCGCCTTGTTTCTCTCAATAGCTGACTATGAGATGATAAACCGCTTAATACACTGTGCTAATTGGATGAGAGCAAAAAGAGATGGGAATTAAGGCGAGGCAAAAGGAGAAAGTGCAGCGAGCCTTCAATTCACTCTTTCACCGCTTTACCAGCCCCAAAGGAGGCACAAGCTTTCGATAAGCAGACTAGAGGTTTTGTGCGGAGATGAAATGAACGTGTTAGTGGATTCAAGTAATACACTAATTATTGCACAGTATAAATACCACTACTGGTTTTATAACAGGGAGGTAAACTTCTTTTGAGAGGGTTATAGGATTGCTTGGCAGTGGTGTAGAACCTAATAAGGGCCCAGAGTAATAACCCCCTGGATTAACAAAATTGCTGCTTGTAGAAGTATGATTCAGGCTTTTACGAAGATTTCCGGAGCATGAATAAAAATGACTGAATGACATTTCTTAATGTATAACTGGTAATCGCTCCCTTTTCTTTAAAGGAAAAAATGTATACTTCAAAGTGGACCGTTAATAACGTCCAGAGACAACACAACTTTTTCCTTTGTAAAAGGCTTTTTCTCCCCCACCCGGTCAGGTAGCGGGTTTCCTCCTCCCCGCCCCCCAGCCAGCCTAGCGCTGGCGGTGAAATATGCAGTTGCTCCGTGGGACTCAGGGTTCCAAAATACCCTTTTAGGCCCCATTTAAGACCCCCCTTCATTCACACACACTGTTGTGTATACACATGCACACATGCTCACGTACACATTTCTTTTTCCCCTCTAAACGCAAGCTCCACGAGCCCATGTACAATTTCCTTCCCTCTAACATCAGCCCCCCTCTTCCAATCCGGTAAGCTCTCCGCACTCAAAATGATACGAAAAGGAGAACCACGGGTGCCTCATCTCTGGGTTCTACAAATGCAAAACAACAGTAATAAATGTTTGCCCCAATTAGGGAGGAGGAGTGGGCTAATAGAAAAAAAAAATGGGAAACTGGGGCTAATAACCGGTGACTTTAGCTGAAGTCTGAGTTTCAAGTCCCAAGTCGTGCCAAACCTTCTCCAATAGTCCCTCTCTCTAATTCTCATTCCTTCCGTTTTCCCCACCACAAACCTACGATGCCCGCCCCAACTGTCCATGCTCCAGGCCATGGGTGGTTGGTGACATAAGAACACAGGGGCACCTTCTGATAATATTATGGCGCATATTATGCCCTTCTTGCCTTTCCTTCCAGGGCCTCATCCTGACCCGGCTAGCCTGTCTGAAAATGTAGCAAGTTAACTTTCTCCTTCCCCTCATTCTTCCCACAGAGGCTCCCAATCACCCCTCATCCCAGGACTCTGTAGGGGTGGCCCTGGGAAAGCAGGTGGTGGGGTATTCTGCCCTGGGTGTGACGGGGGACAGCCATGCCCCCATCACAGGGGCTCTCCTGAACTCCCCTGGGCTCGGCATGTCCTCTGCGGTGGAAGAGGTTTGCCTAAGGTTGGGGGGGGGGGTCAGCCGCTCCCAGCATTGTGACTGCGTTCCCAGATATTGGGGCCAAATTGGGTTGCCATTCATTAATAATGCTCACAATAAGATTAAATCATTCTGGAAAATCTCATAAAATCCCCCTAAGTACGCTCCAGTGGCTCTTTCCAATCCCCATCATTCAGCACTTGGGGAGGTTTGGAAGGAGAAGAAAATTGGTTTCTTTGCTTTTAATGCTTCTTTGAAAAGATACTCAGAGTTTGTCATGCGTGACATGTCACATGTTTAATGTGGACTTGCTGGAAGTCAGGGGGTCTTTAGCGTGTGATATTTATGGGGAATATTAAGTGCAGAATGAGGTCCCTCCAGCTGGGGAAAGTTGAAAGAATAGGAGGCCCAGGACCGGGCTTGTTTGCGGCATCAGAATGACATAGGATTAAGAGTTTGTAAAACAAGGCGAGGGGTTCTCATTGGCCAGTAATAAATGTAATCCTTGGAGGTAATTTCACGCAATTTGCTTCTGCTCCATGGAAGGGTCAAATGAGAAAAAATGACTTAAAAAAGAGTTCATTAACAGGAAGAATGGTACTGTTTCTCGTATACCATCCAACTGGCAGCCTGGAGAGGAAAAAAAGCCGTACCTAAACAAAAAGCCAAAATCGACGGAAAATTGATATTGACCACCAAAAAAAAAAAACCAAAAAAACCAAAACAACAAAAAAAACCCCTTTCCCTCACTCCCTCTTCTCCTGCACTCCCCCATCCCCACCTCCAAACTCCAGAGTAACCCTGCCCACGCCAGGAAGGGGCCTTCACACCCGGAGAGCCGGTGGAGCCTGGGGGTTTGAGGCACTCAGATCTCCAGGGGATGCCCTAGAAAGTTCCCGCCGGGCCTGCTAAAGTCGAGAAAGGGGTGTGTGGCCGCAGTGGCCGAGGAGAGGTGGTGGGAGGCCTGCTCCCCCACCCCGCCATTCCCCAGGCCGGGCTTCTGCTTTCGAGCCCCGCCCTTTGCGAGTCCGGAGCCGGGGCTCGGCGGCGGTGGCCCACCCGATGGCCCAGGGCCCGCGAAGCCCGTGGGCGCGCTCCCCAAAGTTCCCAGCAGGCGGGGGCTCGGGATTTCAGGGCCGGGTGGGCTAGCCGAGGACACCCGGGTCTGAGCGCGGCAGCTGCCGAGCGGGTTACCCGCCCCCCCGCCCCGAGTTGCCGCCGACCTCTGCCCGAGAGCGCACCTGCCCCTCGGCCGCGCACACTTGCGCTCCCTAGCCGCAAGGGGACCCGCCCCTCCTTCTGCAGGGCGCGGTCCGGGAGCGCGCGCGGAGCCCGACGGCCGGCCGGGAGACTCGCCCCCGCCCCCCGCGGCGCCCGACTGGCCCATGGCCTGGCGGGGCGGCTGGCACCCGCTCCGCGAGCCCGGTAGTCACGCCGCGGCAGCACCCCACCCCCCGCCTGCCCCTCTCCCCAAAGGTCCGGCGCGCTAATTACTACAAATTGAAACTAATTAAGCTTCTCTTCCCTTTCCCATCACCCTGGGAGCGTCGGCGAGACCCAGCCCCCGCGGGCGGGCTTACCCCGCGGTCACCGGGAGGGGCGCAGGAAGGGCGGAGGGCGGGGGGCGGGGGGGAGGGGGGGAGAAGCCACGGTTCCCGGCGCGGGGAGGAGGGCGCCGAGGGGGTTACAGATTGCAAATCTGTGCGGGTCTCCTCTCAAGAAACCTGAGTTGTTTAGATTTTTTAAAATGTATACATTTCCCAATGCCTGGATAAGTGATGTAATGACATTTGTCGAGTTAAGATCTGCCACTTGGATACCCCTCGCTGCCTTTCCATCACTGTTTCTGCGTTCTTCTCTCTCTCCCTCTCCCTCTCCCCCTCTCGGTCTCCTCTCTCTCTCTCTCTCTCTCTCTCTCTCTCACACACACACACACACACACACACACGCACGCACCCTCCTCCCCGCGGGTATACTGTGGAGCCCGCCCCCTCGGAAGCCAGCGCCTCGGCTTCTTGCTCTCGCCATTACCTGTCATCTCGGACTGCGCACTTCCTTGCTACGTGGCACTTTCCACGAACAGTTTCCTTCACCTTCCGAGCCGATACTCTCGCTCGCTTCAAATTTCTATCTCCACCGTCAACAACACCTACCGTCCACCCACTGCCCCCCCTCGGGCCCACCCCACGTCCGTAGCCCCGGACCCTCAGCGTCCGCTGAGGCACGACCCGGGGGAGCCGAGATGCGGCGGAAAGCGCTGCGGCGGCGTCCTTAACTTATGGAAGGAAACCCGAATCCCTTTGAGGATCACATTCAAACCGGGGGCCTCTGCCAGGAAAACGCGCTTGCAGATGAACCGAGGAGGTGCCGGGGCGCCAGAGCCCACCCCTGGCCTCTGGCGGGCCCCGGGTCTGCTGACCCCACAGCGCCTGCATAGAGCATTCACACTTCCTTTTGTTAAACATATAATTTTTTTTTTTTATTTTGAGCGTGACACTTCTCCACTAGATAGCAAGGAAAAGTGATAACAATTACACATTACACAAAAGTACTGTACCATTGCCTTTATCTTGAAGGTTTCGGAAGCCTCTACAGTTAATAAGTTAAATAAAGGGCTTGAGTACATAAATATTTGTCTAGGAACCCTACCGTATCTACAACACAGTAAGAATCTACAGGAGGACGGACTTTTACCATACCACGCTGAGTGCAATTGCGTTATAACATTTCAAATATACAAAGCTCTGTTCTTTTTTTTTTTTAATAACAATGGTATGTACAGAATCAATAATCACAGTTTGGTGACTTCAACAGTCCATATTCTAGCAGAGTATTTCCCTTTGGTTTGATATAAAAACCTTGGTTGGTGTATGATAAAGAAGAGAACAAGAACAAGACGCCCCTTTCTGTTAAGTGCACTGTTAGCTATCTTACAGATTTGCATTCGCTTCCCTGGCCCTGGCTTCACACCGGGGCCCACGCTGGGGAGATCAACTTAGAGCGCCAAAATGCTGTTTAAAAAAAAAAAAAAGCTAAGTGGGGTGCCAGGAGGAAGGGGGGGTTGGGTTTTTTAATTTTTTAACTTCAGTACCAGGCGTCTTGGAGAGAAAACCTCCCCGATATTTTCAGCAAAATAAGAACGGGAGAGAGTGGACGTTCGAGGGGGAGCGAGGTTGGCAGTGGCGGGGACAGGGGGCAGGGGCGAGGGCAGGGGCGGGTGGACAGCCAGCCGAGGAGGTGCCACGTCCGGGAGCGCCAGGGGCTGCCTTGCCCGCATCCAGGCTGCTGCGAAGGCGGCTGCGCTCTCTCAGTGCCGTCTCGGGAGTGTGCTGGTCCTCTGTTTCCATTTGGTCTTGAGTGGTGCTGAGTGAGGTGACCTTTCGGGGTGCGCCCGGGGCGCGAGGGTGGAGGGCAGCCTTTAGCACACCTCCTTGCCCGTGCTGGTGCCCGGCAGGATGTTGAGCTGCGTGAGCTGCGCGGCGTGCTCCTTGGCCTTGAGCCTCAGCGCCGCTATGCTAGAGGCGCGTCTGTCTGCGGCCGCGGTGGCCGGGTCGGCCAGCGCGCCCGACGCCACCGCGCCCTCCACGGCCGGCGTGGGCTGTCTCAGGAGCGCGGCCGCGGTCGACGCGCTGGTCAGGGGGGCCATGGTGGAAAAGAGCCTGCAGGGAGAGCAAACAGCGCGGTCATGGCCTCGGGAGCTGAGCGCGGCGCCGGGCGGGGGAGGGGGGGCGAAGGGGGGGTAGCAGCGTTTCCCGCCGCCTCTCACCGGGAGAGCAGAGGGCCACACAAGGGTGCAGACGGGCGCCGCCGCAAGAAGCCCGGAGTCGCAGGGCTAGGGTGGGCCACGGGCGGGGAGCAGGTGGGAGCATGGGTGGGAGGCTAGGGTGCTCCGAGAGGACTTTACTAGAGGAGGGAACCGACGGAGGGGGCGGGGAGTGGGTGGAAAGGCCAAAGGGCCTGGTATTCTGAAAGGATCAGGGCCAGGGCGGAGGCAGGTCCTGTGGCCCAAAAGCTAACGGCCCAATCGCCTGGATTCTGTGCTTTCTCCTAAGAAGGGACTGTATTCTCAGACGGGGAGCTCCCATTGCCAGGGGAGAGAAGAAAGACAAGGAGAAAAAGGAGAAGAGAGATAGAGGGAGGAATAAAAAAAAGAGAGAGAAGGGAGAAGGTGGAGTCAAAACTGATCAAGACCTACGCTGCAGACTTTGTACTCTCCCTAGGGCGCCTTCTCGGCCCGGGGACTCCTTTTGCCTGGAAAAGCTGGCCTGGTTTGCTGGCCTTGCCGCCGACCGGGCCACCCTCCCGCGCCAGACTGAGCCGCCGGTGCCCAGCCAACGACCGCGAGGTGGGGGTGGGGGGCGCCCGCCTGTTGATTTCCGCTCGACAGGCCACTCTGACCCGCCAGCTGCCCCGCGTCCCGGCGCGGCGACACTCTTGCCCCGTCGCCTTCCCTGCGCCCTGCAGCCTCGTGCCCCAGAGAGCCCACGAACCCGCGACCCCCGCGCGCGGTGCACGGCGACGCGCAAGCCTGGGCTCCCAAGCCTGGAATTCCAGTCCGTGCCACCAACTCCAGGCGGCGCCGGGATTGCTTCTCGCCGCACCTCCACCCCCTTCGCACAGCACAGCGGACCTGCAGCTGAGGCCAGAGCCACCCCTGGCCACCCGACACTACCACCCCCAAGCCCCCCTCATGTCCCTTCCCCCCCTTCCGCGCCCGCAGGGTTCCGGCTCCGAACTCCTGCAGGGCCGACTCGGAGTTTCCACGATTAGAAATGCGCCCACTAGGGTTCGAGGAGAGCCTCCTGCTTCTCCCAAGCCCCCCTCCACCCCTCATGCCACCCCCACCGCACTCCTCTTGCAGCCTCTCCAAATCTCGAAGTCTGGTACTCCAGCCGTGGTTTGCCAGCTTCTACAAGTCACTTGTCGGAAGGAAAAGGGGGCGGGGGGCGGGGGTGGTTCGGGGGACACAGGACTTAAAGTTGTTTTCCCAGAAAAACTTAAAGTGTGGCCTGGAGGGGGTGTACGATGCCCTGGTTCCATAGGTAAACTGAGTCACTACACTTAAGTGCACTCGCTGGTTATTTTATCGGTTTGTTACACGAAACTACTTTTACTTAGTGTCTTTTTTTGAAACTTTTCTCTAAAAGATGATTTTTGTTAAGTGGCTGCGCAGTTGGATGAATCTATTATTTCTTTGTTCTCCCAAAGAGAGATCACTGAAGCTGCATTCAGTTTTATTTTCACTGCACTTTCCAACTTAGTACATCCCTCCTTTGTTTCTTTGTCTGGGTGATTATACAGACTTTTTATTTCATCATTCGATGTTCATTTAAAGAAAGGGAATTATAATATACGATGAACTGTTTCTTTTATTTCGTTGTCTTGTGCCGCCGTGCGGGTCGGGGGTTGCACATATGGGGGTATGGTTGGCAGCGGGTCACTTGAGTGACAGGGAAGTTAGAGTCTGGGGAAGAAGAAAGAATTCTTTGCACCCAGAGGGCCAGTGGCTCCAGGGCTCCTGTGGAAACCAGAGCTGTGTTCCTCTGCCAGGCTTTGGAGCATGGGGAAGGATTTTTGCAAAATTTGAAGAGTCGTCCCAGCTCTGTAGGCTACACATGTACACGGTTACACACATAACCACCTATGGCCTGAGCGGTTGCTGCCTTCAACTGGTACTTTTACAGCTTTCAATGAACACTCCCAGTTGTCCCGGCTGTTGTTACTGCCACCGCCCTCCCCTTTGCTGCTCGGTCCCAAGTCATTCCCTTCAAGAGCCACACTGTTTGAGGCAAAATTAGAGAGTATTTCCTTTGGCTAAATCTCTGGGAGTTGGCCAAAGAGCGAAGATGTGGAGCTGCTGCCTGTGTCCTGTCTCCGGCCTCCTCCCTGACCCCAGCCTCTGCGTGTGTATGAGACAGACAGACAGACAGACTCCCCGAGGCCGCGCGTTACCTGCCGAACGCAGGGCTGATGAAGGCCGGGTGTCGGAACACAGCGGCTCCGAGGAAAGTGCTCAGGCCCAGCGGCGCCCCGCTGGGCGGCAGGCTGGCCGAGCCAGGAGGCGGAGGTAGGCTCGGGAAGGCGGCGGCGGCGGCGGCGGCGGCGGCCGTCCAGGCCGAGTCGAGCGCTGGGTGGTGCGGAGGGAAGGGGCTGGCGTCCAGGTAGGGGCTCAGCGGGTGGGTGGCCGAGAGCGGCCCGGGGAAGGGCAGCCCGGGAGGATGGGTCTGCGCGCCCGCCTTCTCCCGCTTGCGCCACTTTGCCCGACGGTTCTGGAACCAGACCTGCAAGGCGGAGAGAGCCGGGGTCGGCGGGCCGCTGGGGGGGGGGGGCACGCCCCGGCCTCCTCCCCACCCCCCCTTAGTGCTGCGGGGGGCCCCTCCTTTCCACCGAGGCCGGCGCCCACTCGCCCCTCTCTGGCCTCAGGTTATTCGAAGACACCTCTGGGGGCCAAACAAACTGGTGGCGAAAAGGAGCCCAAACTTAAAGCCAGCAGGAAACACGGGGCAAGCAAAGCCTTTCCAGTGCGTATTTCAAACAGCCTAGTTCCTTTCCAAGTTGGAAGAAAGTAGTCCCGTGTGTTTAGAGATGGGGAAACCGAGGTTTAAACGTCTGCACTGCCATCTGCTTGCAGTGCATCTCTAGACACGTTGCTTAAAAACCTCTCAACCTCAGTTTTCTAATCTGTAAAATGGTGATAATAAAACTTCACTCATAAGGCTGTTATGTGGAATGAATAACCTAAAGCATGTGAAAGCTCGCCTTGGACAGTGACTCTTGGCAGTGGGCAGCCACCCAGAGAGGAACACATATCGGTTCTCTGCTGCATACCAGCGGGTTCCGCCTATTTCAGGTTTACCCAAGAGCTGGCAAAATCCCTGCTGTCTGGAAAAGGGGATCTCAGGGAGGCGGTTCATTTATTCTTTCCAGAAATATTTATTGAACACCTAAGAGCACTAAGCTGGATTCTGGGGCTTGGGGAAAAGCTGGGCAGGAGGGAAAAGCTGGGTTTGCCCCAGCAAACAAGCATACATTGGGGGGGGCAGTTCTCCGGGAAAGGGAATCTGGAGCCTGGGGCCTGCTCTCTGCGGGGGCTCTATGCAGGGCCTGGTTCTAGCCAGGAAGGCACTGCCTGCCAGGCCCAGGTACGCAGCAATCCCTGGACAAACAGAAATCAGAGTGCGGGCTACCTGTAGACTTTACACATCTTCAGAGCTAACAGGCCCTTGATTTCTTTGCGGGATGTGGTTTAAATAGGTTATTTAAATAAGAGAGTTCTAGGCTTGGGGGAGGTTTCCAGCACAAGGTATCTTCCTAATTGTTAATAGAAAGCAGTTTTAGTAGAGACCTTTACCTGAAATGTGGCAGCTACCATGGTCTAAAAATAACTCCCAGGAGCATGAAATTATTTTTATGTGACCTGCTCATCACACCCACAGCTAATAAGATATGCTCCTTCTCCCCTGAAGGCATTAATATTTTTAGGCTTGGGTTGATGCCTGCACACAAGTCTAAAAATTAAGAATGAACTCCAGGGCTATACAGAGTTATATGAAAATATAATGTAAATGATCCCAGAGGACTTTGTGTGTGTGTGTGTTTTTTAGTGTGAAGACATCCGTGCCTTTCATATATACACACTTGGAGCTTGTCGTAGTGGCCCTGGTATCTAAGCTGGGCTTCACTTCTAGACAGCCACCTTTGGCAAGAGAAATCGAGAATCCACATCGGTTGATTATTTCAAATTCTGCTGAAAGGGGACCCATCCATAAGATTCCACAGCCCTCAAACAATCTATTTGTGAATTGGAGAAACACTGTAGTGTGGAAATTCAGAGGCTTGAAAAAGTACGACTAGATGGGACCAGGCTGGGTGGGCAGCTTTTGTGTATCCAAATCTGTCTAGACGAGAGTATCCACCACTCTTCGATGGCAGTGAAAGGAGTAAAGGAGGGGAGGGGGGCAGCGGAGGCAGAATGCCCTCAAAGAACGTGGAAACCTTTTGCAGACAGATCGTCTCTCCCGGCTCAACTGCAGTCATCAAGATGTCCCCCTGCAATTCCTCATTATTGAATTAATACCTCTGAGGCCCCCAAAGGTAAACGAAAGGACTCTAATAATTCATATCCACTTAATTACATCTTCTCCAGTGAATAGGGAGAGAGGAGAAGGGGAGGGGGCGCTCTCTTTCTTTTTAAAAGTTATTTAACTTTCCCACGACTCGTTCCCCTGAGCTGAAAATACGGAGTTGCTGTCACATCTCTGTTTGACAATGGAGAAATGTGTCAACAGAAAGGAGGGGACAGGCCTCATCATTAGCCCTCTAATGCAAGAAGCTGTTGTGTATTAAATGAGCCATATGGAATTTATTGTGCTTTATCAGCGCTTGATTTTGACTGTAAAGTGATTCACTCAGCTCCTAACCCAGGGACATCTGTTTTCTGTTGGCCACCGGGGCTGCCCAGTGTTGATCGTCTCTCTGGTTATGAGGCCTGGGTTCGGAAATGCACTCTGGTATGGGGCTGCAAACACCTTTAATAGCATTGCACTCACTCCCTATTAGATCAATGTGGGCTCATTGCTATAAAAAATGGGAAATCAAATAGCATTAGCCAGCTCCTTGTGCGGGCGGAGGGAAAATCAAACAGCATTTTGCCTTCAAATGGCCCTGTTTGTTCTAGCACTAAGTGGGCTTTTATGAAGCCCGATTGGAGACTTAATCGCAGCCAAATACCTGCTTGGAGCTGAGCGGATTTGTCTAACAACCAAATCCATGCTCCATCCCATTATTTCAATCAGGAGAAGTCAGTCCTCCGATTGTTTCCTACAGGGGCAGTGGAACCAGGGGGCTCCTGACTGCCGCGCAGGGACCCTGAAACCCCTCTTCTGATCCTGGACTCACTCCTTCCTCAAGGCTCCCAAACCCAGAAACCTTCCCCTCCAACCTCCCAGCTCTTCACATTTTCATCTTTTTGTGCATGAGTGTTTGGGTCTATTTTTTTCCGATTCTGCTTCTCTTCATTTTATGAAGGGGGTCTCAGCCCCCCAACCCATCCACCCCCTCTCTCTCCCACTCCTCTCCCCACCCCTCCCCCTCCCTCCTCTCTGTCCCTGTGGTGCAGCTCACCTGGACTCGGGCCTCCGTCAAGTCCAGCCTCATGGCCAATTCCTCCCTGTAAGAAAGCAACACACAGACAGGAGGTCACAGCTGGCTCCGGCAAGCCCTCTCAGCCACCTTCCCCTTGCTGGCAGGCCTCCTCCATTAGGGTCTCCCCTGGCTGCCTGCCCTCACCCCCAAACAGATGGGCATCGTGATTCCTTCACCACCGAAGTGCCTGCTATTTGATTGAAAACATAAAAACACACAGCGCATCGCTGGATATAGGGTATTATATCATATCAGAATATATTCACGAGGGACAAGGGGGGCTTCTTGAGTCCGTAAGCCTAACTGGGTCCTCGGATTTGCCCCCACTCTCCCTTAAGCCAGAGTTGGACAAAAAACACACAGGCACACAATGCTTATGGCCTCTTCTGTCCTAACATTACATGGGAGAACTCGGTATTCAACCAAAAATGTTCTTCCTGCCCTTGGTGTCTCTCTGCCTTGAAAATTTTTCTTCTGCCTCCCTCCCCACCCTACTCTCCCCCCCTTCTCTCTCTCTCCCTCTCCAGCTCTTTGCCTTTCCCTCCGTCTCTCTATCCACACCCCCCCCCCCGCCTCTCTCCCTCCCTCTCCCCTTAGGTCATACTCCCCATTACCCTCTGGAGATATGTTAAGCTTGTTAAGAGTTCAGTGGGGTAATTTTTTGATTAAACAAAATTCTGCGCACCTCCTGACTCCAGTGCCCACTACAAACCCTGCCCATCTCAGGGGAAGTCAATTTAACTGAAACCCTACCCCGTCATTGCAGTTATTACTGCGACAATTAAGGCAAATAGGAAACCATTAAGATGCTGTAAAATGGCTTACGACCTGTTTACCGAAAATATGAGCTCGAGAGAATAAGTGGCTCTACGCCCGCTAATATGAAAGATCGGGGACTGCCCCAGCCTGGGACCCGGGTCTGCACTGCTGGCAGCACCCCCCCGCCGGTCCACACGTGAAACTTCAGGACCAGGAGAGAAAACCGGTTCACCAAGCGCTTTCCGTTGCCCCCTGCTGCAGTGAGCGCCAGCAAATGTAAAACCACACTTTGGGCCGGCTCCCTGCCTGAGCCCAGGCGCTCTAAATAACCCGCAGTGGGAAAGAGGTGGGCACCAGCAGGTGAAGAGGAGCTCCCCCTCTTACGGTCCACCCTGGAGAAGCTAAAAAAGGGCAGACCTGGATGCCAGATGACACCTCATCGTTTTCTTCCTTTGAAATACACATGTGTCAGAAATGCAAAAAGCAGGTCGGCCAGGTAGCTAGTTGATAGCACACACCGATTTTAAAATTTATGTTCTTCTTTAAAGATGGTGAAGGGACCGGATGATATAGGGGAGGACCAACTTTAGCTCAAGGGATGACCAAGTGTAGTGCCTGCCAGTATCAGATCCACTCTTTTCTATGACTGCTCAGGAGAGTTTGGCAATTACTTGCCAGATCAACAACACTTGAGAGTTGGCTCGGACCTCCTGAGCTCCGAGCAGCGAGCAGCGGTTCCTCCTCGGGTTCAAAGGGGCGGGCAGCCTTCAGCTTCTAAAACGCATATTGAAAAGCTGCACACGTCTTGAGCGAAGGAGGTGCCGGAGCTTGACAAGCTCTGCGCCCGGCAGACACCCATCCGTTCCTTGCTACCCACCGAGGGAGGTTTGCCTTGACGCTGGCTCGTCGCCTGAGCCCAGAACTTGGCCTTAGGGTGGCAGAGGAAGGCCCCCAGGCTGGCCAGCGCCCCAGGTTGGACGAACCAGCTGGGGCCCTTGGGGTCCAGTCATCTCACCTCTTTCCCCGAAACCCTTAAGGCAAGAGGGAAGTGGAGCGTGACCAGGCGGAACACCCTGGCTGGACAGCCGTGCAAAGAGGAAAAGTCGCCCCCCCCCAGCCGTTTTGTCTACTGTCTGCCAGGCTGCCAGCAATCCTGCGCACCCCTGTAAACCCGCGTACAATAAACGAATGCTGGGCTTAACGTGGGTGTGGCAAGAGAGGACAGTGATGAGAGGGAAGATTCTGGCTGGTGCCCCGCAGATGTACAGATACCAAACCCTGCCCAGTTCTGACTTGCTTCCGTCCTTTCAGAAGTCCTCAAACCACAGAACTTGAATCTTTTTAAAGGCCTTCTCCGCAGGCAGGGGCTCCAGCTTCACTGTGAACAGCGAACAGCGTAACTGATACGCACCAGGCTCCTGGGGCATCAGGCGGGCGAGGGGGAGGGGGGGGCGGGCGGGGAGCGTGCACCACACAGCGGCCAAAAATAGCCCCTGTTTTTGCTTTGACCGCGAGGGCCCGCGGCGCTTCCTGCGCCTTGCCTGGGACCAGGCCGGGCCCGCAGCGCCTGGGGTCCGGCGTCTGTGTTCTGGGGTGCGCGTGCCTCCGAGGTGGCGCTTTCGGGCACTCTTTGGAGAGGCCGTTTTTCTCTAACTAAAACTTGTAATTTGGAAAAAAAAAAATTACACTGGAGAGACTTTGGGAAGGAAAGGAATCATCCCAGTCCGAACTTAAAGGCCGGAGTAGGGATGGGGTTGGGTGTGGGTAGTTTTTCGTGAGCAGGGGTGGGTGCGTTGGGAGGGCACACCTGGGCCGAGTCCAGGAGCCAAGTCCCTGCCCCGAACCCGGGGCCCCTGCCCGCCCGCCTTCCCTCGCCGGGGCCCGCTCGCGCTCTCCGCCAGCTACCGCCGCGCCCGCCCCTCTCGCCTACCTAGTGAAGACGTCTGGGTAGTGCGTCTTCTGGAAGGCCCGCTCCAGTTCCTCCAGCTGGTAGCTGGTGAACGTGGTGCGGTAGCGCCGCTGTTTGCGCTTCAGCAGCCCCTCCTCGGAATCGCTGCCCGCAGACAGACACACGCTGTCCTCGCCGTCCTTGCCCTCAGCGTCCTCAGGGTGCAGCAGGAGCTCCTCCTTAGGCGATAGCTCCCCGCCCTCGGTGGCCGCAGCGGCGGCGGCGGCGGCGGCGGCGGCGGCGGCGGCCACCGCACCAGTGGCGGCCACGGCGCAGCGCCGGGGCTCCTTGAGCAGCGCGCGGGCGTCGTCCTCCAACAGCTCCTCCTCGTCGTCCTCCAACAGCTCCTCTTCCTCGTCTTCGTCCTCTTCATCCTCCAGCAACTCCTCCTCGTCGTCCTCGGCTCCCGTACCGCCACCCGCCGCCGGGGCGCCACCGGGGCCGCTGGCCGCGCCGAGGCGCTCGTCCGGGTGCGCGGCGCCCCCCGGGCCACCCAGCTCGTCCAGCGCGGGCGGTGGCGGCACGAAGGGCGCCCCGTTCTCGCGGTACGACTTGCTGCGGCTGATGCTCACCTGCGGTGCCTGGCTGAT